ACCTGTACGAGTCTGGCCTTGTCTGCGGCACAATAGTGTTGGGTCCACCGAGATGAGGTTCAGTACCCTCTCTACTTCGACCTCAGCGGCTACAATGTGGCAGTCTCCCGGTAACCTTTCTTACGGCATTGGGTAGAGGCGTTTCCAACTGAATGCGGTCGTTACCTGCGGCCACATGGACTGTAGGTAGCAAGGAGACTACATGGAGGAGGTAGGGAGACTTACCTTCACAACTTCCTTCTGCGCCTTCGTCGGTTAGATTACCTATTTGGCGGTGGTTGCCTTTCCTTAATCGCCAGCATATAACGGCCACATTCACTGCAGTCTGCCATGTAGAGTTAATGGACGAAGCCCATAGACTAACCTTCACGTCTTCCATAGGCCAGCTTATCTGATCGCCGTTTGTTGGCTTTGCTCAATCGCCAGCACTTCCACCACCATCCAATAACCGGCCAAATTCACCGTATGCAGGCATTAAGACTTAATGGAGGAGTTACGGAGACTTACCTTAACGTCTGCCGTCTGCGGTTTCGTTGGTTAGCTTATCTAATCGTCGTAGGTTGATTCTCTTTCATCACCAGCTCTCCCATCGCCATCCGTTAAACGGCCACATTCACCGTATGCAAGCATTGTGACTTAATGGAGGAAGTACGGCGACTTACCTTCATGTCTTCCGTCAGTGGCTTCGTTGATTAGCTTACCCAATCGCCGTTCGCAGGCTCTTCTCACTCGCCCGCTGTCCCATTGGCAGTGGGTAACCGCTGCATTCATTGCAGGTGGGCTTGGAGAGTAAATGGAGGAAGTACAGAGACTTGCCTTCACGTCTTCCCTATCCGCCTCGGTTGATTAGCTTACCCAGGCACCGTTCGTTGGCTCTCTTCTATTGGATACGCTGCTGCCCAATGTCGTAGGAAAGTCTCCCAGGAGGTTGCCATGTTGTCAGTCCTTAGGTCGAACCATAAGCGGTACTGAACCTCATCTAGGTGGGCCCACACTGCTCTGCCGCAGACAGGTCCAGACTCCTGCAGCTTCCTCTTTAACCTGCTCCAGTAGGCTTCAATGGCGTTCGTTTGCCGTCCTGTTGTGGGATTCACGAAGCCTCTACGGTGGTTGACCGTGTAGTGTGTATAACCTTCCGACGGCAATCGGGTGTAACCCTTCCACTCATCCGTTACGATAACACTACCAGCAGCCACCCACTTCCTTATGACGGGCCTTAGGGCCTCCCAACTGCGGTTGTTAATCTGCTCAAACAGGGCTTTCCGCCTGCGTGTATCGTACATACCTACGACCCACAACTGCCGCCGCGGCCGTCCTCTGTTATACTTGCGGCGACTTATGAGCGTCTCGTCTACCTGTACTTCCACGCCGGGTCCCCCAATTTGGGTTACGGCGGATAGAAGTGCGTGTGAGCAGGCCCCCCGGCAAATGCCGTACCATTCCATGGCCGTATTTCTACTGACACCTACACTTGCCGCACACCGCTTGGCACGCACACCTTCGACAAACTTGTAGCATATACGCATCAGTGTCTGCAGGCTGAGCTTACTACCAACAAACATTGACCCCGTCCGCAGGCACCTCTTCCGTCTACAGTGTCCACAACGGAATGCATAACCGTCCGTATGCTGCCGCAATACTTGCATCTGCACAGTGCGCCGACATCGGCAGGCTAGGGTCGTGGCCAGCAACCTCCACCGCTGCAGGTACTGAACGACACCTGCTGACTGAAGGACAGCTTGTATTTCGTCCTCGGCCGTCGGTGTAATCAGCTGAGGACCGCGCCTACGTCCGCCTGCATTCGGTGACGACCTAGGTATAAAACAGTAGGAGTTTACGATACTGCTGATGTTCACTTACACATTCCTCCTACCCATCTCTTTTTTCTGTTATGTGTGCCTACACATATCACAGTACGCCGAGGAATGAGGTTGAGTTGCATTACCGGTTGCTTATAGATATTAGACTACCATGCGGTCCGCGCTAACAACTCGCACATACCGAAACTGTCTCTCCATTTTTCTCATTCAACTTAAACCTACCCGGCAGTATGCTATGCGGTTAAATTTAACCAGAAAGGGGTTACGTAGTTCTACAAACTGCTCCCACCACGGATACTTATAAATCTCATAAAACATCGAACATCCACACGGCGTCCGCCACCTTCGGGAGTTCACTAGGTTGTTCCAGGCTGCTGCGGTGGCGTTGGAGTACGTCCAGGTATCCTAACCAGCTTTCGCTTTATGCGTATTAACCGGCGCATGGGTTGGGGATCACCGATATACCAAATAGGGAGGGGGTTATTAAGGGTCCGGGAAGTGATGCAATTGCCATAAGCATGTCATGCAAATACTCTTACCCAACCGCAGTACACTGCTGACCGCCCGCATCGCCTGTACGCATCGTATGCATCGTGCCTATCAAACGCACACCACTTTCAAATGCGCCGCCAATGATCCCATTGGTTAGCCGCTTGGCGGTTCAGGTTTCCTCGCCCCGGCGGCCAATCACATCACGTCCCCAGCCAGCCCTCATTTGATTGGTCGTTGCCTACGGTTTTCCCTATTTGCGCGCCATCCTCCCCCTATTTTTGACTTCATTAAAACAAATATTTATTTTTCTGCGATTTTCAACATTTTTTGGCTTCTACTTGCAAATTTGGTGCCCTTTGCCGTTTGCCCCGCCCGTTCTTCCCCTCAAAACCGCCATCCCGTTGTACCCGACCCACCTAGAGAGGATTTCTCACTGTGGCTGACTGTTGGGCTTCTGCCGAAATTTCGACCATGACGTATTATAGTCATGTCCCGGAGATTTAACTCCATGTCCTGCAATGAGTCATTTCTGAAATTATTCGCTTGATTATTCTCTGGAGTTTATATACCAGAAACAGCTAGGGAAGGCTGGAGTTCCCACTGAGGAGCCGTGCCCCTCGCAGCTGTGACAAATGTCGGCAGAAAATCGGCGAAACACGGGTCTGGGCTTTTAGCAAGTATCTACGTCGGGAGTACGGTATAATACCTTTACTATATGGATTTCATACTACTCGTAGCACTACTTGTTTGTAGAATGGGCATTACGTGGTTATTCCACAGTAGTTGATTGTCTTCGACTGGGATGTTCATTGAAATTTCGACTATGACGACATAAATACATGTCCCGTATATTTAAATCGATGTCATGCACTGAGTCATTTATGAAAATATTCGCTTGAATATTCCCTGCAGTTCATATACCACAATCCGCTAGAGAAGGCTGGGGTTCCCACTGAGGAGCCGTGCCCCTCGCAGCTGTGGCAGATATCGGCAGAAAATCGGCGAAACACGTGTCTGGGCTTTTGGGTACAATCTACGTCTGGAGTACGGTATAATACCTTTACTATATGGATTTCATACTACTCGTAGTACTACTTGTTTGTAGAATGGGTATTACGTGGTTATTCCACAGTAGTTGATTGACATCGACTCGAATGTTCATTGAAGTTTCGGTTCTGACCCATACAAGTCATGTCCGAGAGATTTAACTCCAAGTCCTGCACTGAGTCATTTCTGAAATTATTCGCTTGATTATTCTCTGCAGTTCAAATACCAGAAACAGCTAGCGAACGCTGGGGGTCACACTGAAGAGCAGAACCCCTCGCAGCTGTGTCACGCAGCGGCAGAATATCGGCGAAACACGTGTCTGGGCTTTTAGCAGGTGTCGGCGTCGGAAGTACGGCATAATACATTTACTATATGGATTTCATACTACTCGTAGTACTACTTGTTTGTAGAATGTTCATTACGTATTTATTGCACAGTAGTTAATTGACTTCGACACGAATGTTCATTGAAATTTGG